CAAAGTCTGGTTTATCCTAAAGTAACCTTCTCAGCATGGCAACTGAAGGTTTGAAATATCTTCTTCATAGGTTCTCATGTAACCAAACAGACCTTTTTGCAAAACTTGGAACAGTTTTGCATTTATAAAAAACCTTTAAGAATCCAAATACATTTCTTTTTTGTGTAGGGAAACATAATAAAATAAATCAAATATAGAGGGAATGTGCACAAATGTCCAAATCTTCCAAAGCGGTATAATTAATTCCACTGCAAAAAAAAGCTGTATGACCCTGTAAAAAGAAACATTCTCCATGAATGACAATGGTTTCTTGTCTATTTGCAGAATCTTTTTCTTTTAACTTTGTTTGTTGTTACAAAAGATATCGCATGCGTACAGGAACCATCCCAATATTATGATATCAGTTATTTCCTGTATAGTTAGGTTGTGTATGAATGGAAAAAAAGAACAGCGACAGTGTGTGCTCGATATAAATGCCTTTAATCAGAATAATAAGTATATATATATACATAGATTTAAAAAAAAAAACATATGTTCATGTTTTATAAATGATGAATCAGATTTTCATAATTCACAATGGTATTATTTGTATTCTGGACTAAACTGAACACAGAAATAAAACATTTTTTATTACAGCAGTACTCTCTTGAACATCCATGTACATATGAAAATTGAAAGGACAGGTAATCAGAATCATTAGTCATTACTCAGTATACTACATTGAGTTTTTTCCTTTATCAATCAAATTCTATATAAAAAGTTCAGTAAAATGTAACAAAACTCTCCAAAGTTTTCTGCTGTCAGAGGTTAGTTGATGTGATGATTGGTTGCTTTGTTCTTTGTCATCATTGCAAAAATTAGCCTTAAATTTTAAATACAGTTTATAAATACCTTCTAAGTCATTTAAAAATGAAAGTTCATCAGAAGGTTTCAGGTTTACACCATATGGTTTTGTTGTTCTTTACAGTAAAACTAGACTTTCTAATGAGATTTTAGGAGACAAGTCAGGAGTGCTTTACAACAGTCAAGGCGGGAGATAACCATATAGTCTGTACCAGGAGCTGGGTAGCATGTTGGGTTAGGTATGGCCGGATATTTCTTATGTTTAGTAGTGTGAAGCGACAAGATCGAGAAACGGAAGTAACAAGATCTTTAAAGGTCAGCTGGTCATCAATTATTACACCCAAGTTTCTTGCTGCCTTTGATGGAGTCAGAGACAGGAATCCACTTTGGAAGTGAATATTGTGGTGTATGGTTGGTTTGGCTGGGAAAACAAAAAGTTCAGTTTTTGAGAGATTCAGTTGGAGTTGATGAGTGCTCATCCATTTTGATATGTCAGAGAGACAGTCTGAGATGATACGTACTGGGACCGTGTGGTCATCAGGTAGAAATGACAGATGGAGCTGGGATATAGGTGTTATATGTGACATATTAAATCAATTCAGTCTGACATTGCACTGGCCTTATTTCATAGATCAGTGCAATATGACTTGAGATGAATGTTGAAACATGTTTTTTCCCTCTGGTTGAACATGAACCTCACATCTGGAAGTGCTGAAGTCAGTCGCTGAAAAAATGGAAATATTCGACTGTACCTGAAAAGACGAGGTGGTACTTCCTCATTTAACAACACTGCGGTTTTAAAAAATTGGAGGCTCAATATTTATCCATCTGATCTCCTGTTTGCCAATTTTAAAACTATTGAACTATTTCTACGTGTATAATTTGAACCCAGATGTGTCACATTGTAAATGAGTAAATATCATGAATCCCTAAAAAAGATCATAATGCTCTTCCCCATGTATCATCCAGTGTTGATAAATATAAGGTAATTTTAATGAAAAAAAAAAGAATAGACAATGTTTGATAAATATCAGTGACTTTATTAGAAGAATAACATAATCTTATTACTTATGTTGAAGAGTCCTTGTGCAAGAGACCGAACCCCAGGGTGCCAACCAGTGTACCCATCGGTGTGCTAATTAGTTTAATCAATTAAAAGTACAGTCCATTTACATTTGATTTGTGTCACACAGCTCATACCTTCATATTCACCTTAAATAAGTTTCAATTTGGTTCAATTTGATTACATCTTTTTTAGATTAACACAAATAGCTTCATAATGTAACTCTTTCCATTGCTTCCTTCATTTCCATCAAAGATTTTTTCCTTTATTAATAAAATTATGGAGAAAAATATAGTATTGGGAAGATGTAGCAAAACTTTCCAAAGTTTTCTGCTTTCAATATGATAACTGATATGATGATTGGTTGCTTTGTTCTCTGTCATCATTAAACAAAGTGATCCTTACTTTTTTTAAATACAGTTTATAAATAATTTCTAAGTCATATGAAATTTACAGTTCATAAGAAGGTGTCACGTTTACATCATATGGTTTTGTTGTTCTTTACAGTAAAACTAAACTTTCTGATGAGATTTCTCACGGCTTTCAGCAAAGAAGTTATTGTTGGCTTGACAGTAACCATGACAACAACACCATGCAGGATGCCGTGATGAGGCTGATCTTGTGGCTTACTCCACTTGACATTTCTGTAAATTTGGAAAAGAATGGGGAAAGTTTTTTTTTGAAAACTGACGTTTGACATAGTAGAAGCTTGATAAAATCCAGTGCAATTAAGGAATATCTAATTTTACTCACGTGAGCCCTCCACAAAAATAGAATTGACATCAATGTTGAAGGACATGACATTTGGAGATGCAGTTGTCAATACTTTCGCTATCTCAGTGTTGTTTGGAATGGATACTAATGCAAACGTTAGGTCCATGTTGTTGATGATAGATCCATTGCTACAAATGAAGTCAAACTTGGATTAATTTGTCTTTATATGATGATTTCAGCAGACTATATCGGTTAATAAATTACCTGAATGAAACCACAGTCAAAGAGCGGAATGAAGAGAATGGTCGTCGGAATAAAGGTTCAAGCTGCAGAGAGAAAGAAACAATATAAAGGAAACTTTATTCAGCATTTTAAACTGAACAACAGTGCAGTATGGAAAGTTTCTTGAACAACATGGACTCTTGTAAAAAAAATTAAATAACATACCGTTGACTGAATCATTTCAGCTCTTTCCA